AAGAAAGAAAGAAAGAAAGAAAGAAAGAAAGAAAGAAAGAAAGAAAGAAAGAAAGAAAGAAAGAAAAAACAACTTTTCTTACTAGATTGCTTCCTGGGAAGTCAATCTAGTTTGTTTTGTTTTTTTGGAAGATGTCAGAAGCAAACATCATCTTTACAAGAGGCCCTGTATGTCATTAATGAAGATGAAAACACATGAAGATTATTTTCATTGCCAGACCGCCCACAGTCAGTCATGTCGCTGTGGAAGTATTCAGATAAAAATAAATAACCATCTCAGTGGTATTATAGCCTTGGAAGTTAAACTCCAGACCTTTCTGAAGCCAGTTTATTGCAGATTTATAAATAGAAATGCCACAGGGAGTAGAGCATTACATGTAGTTAATGCATAACACCGCAGACATATTATTTCTTCCTACTGATAGATTACTGAGACGTTGCAGGGATTTTTCTCTGTTAATTCTTTCTTTTTTTTCCCCAAAGCCAATCCTCACAATCCATAAACAACACTGTAGCCTGTTTCTCTAATAGATCATCCGGACCTAAATCCTCCTCATTAGGCGCTGTGGCATAAACAACTGTTCTAACATGGCCCCTGGATCAGGTCATACTAATTAACCAGCACCATCGACCAACTATTCCTCATTATCCGCCCTCTCATCTGATGGCATATAGGCCGTCAAGACAGCTAACGATCAGCGCGCTAATTAATCAGCTGATGAGGTGCAAGTGGAGCTCTAGGTTCCCTCTTCATTTGTGAGACACATGGGAGCTAATTAGTTCAATTATTAATGCATCTAATTAAATATGTTCTGTAGGTAGCCATGGTTGCAATCGCATCTTCCATCAGGCATGGTAAGAAATAGACATGCAGTGCATTAGGCCTCCTTTGTCGTCCATTTTGGCATAGAGTCACTCCATTGCAAAAGGCTGCCTTAGACTTAACATTACAGTCTATTCATGGGCCAGGATCCCATCAGACTAATTGCACTAAAAGCAGTCTGTGGATGACAGTAAAGGTGAGCTGTGGTTAGGGCTCTAATTAGCAGTCTGTGGAAATAGGAAGCCTGTGTGGCCATCTGCTGCAGCTTGCCGCCGTGTCTTCTGTTTGAAAAGGGCAAAGACAAATTTAGGCATGTTTAGTAAGAAGGCTGTTTGTCTGATACAATGCCATGAGAAGCCTGCACTCGTTGGAGCACATTTTTAATGGGTGGCAGAGAAATTTAAAGGAGAAAATGCCAGAAGGTCCTTCCAAGGATATCAATTCATACAATGTTGAATTATTTCTCATAACCATCTATTTGTTTGTTTTTGCACTGACTAACCTATAGTTGGACATAAATGCAAAATAGGAGAAAAAATGTCAGTTTTTT